CCCACCGCTTGCTCCCCCCCCCCCCCCCGAGCAAACCTCCAGCTGGGGCCTGGATATCTTCTGGAATTAGAACTTATTTCCAGGTGCCAAAGCATAGTTCCCCTGGAGAAAATGGCTGCTTTGAAGGGGGGACTCTATGGCATTAGACCCCACCAAGAACCTGCCCCTCCCCAAACCCCGCCCTCCCCAGGCTCCACCCACAAAATCTCCAGGTATTTCCCAACCCGGACATGGTAACCCTACTCCCCCAGCACATTAGGGAATCACCTTACCAGGGAGTCAGGCCTCGGGCTTCCTGGGCTATCATCTTGGCACAGCGGATATCATCTTCAATGTCATCATCCAAAAGCCCTGGAGGGAGAAGGAAAGGATGTGAGAAAGAACACAGATACGGCTTGCCCATCCTACCCAGCGATGCCAACCTCTAAGTGGCACCTGGAGATCTCCCGCTATTACAATTGATCTCCAATTGCAGATTGGAGGCGGGCAAATGTTGTACTCATCTTCAAGAAGGGGAAAAAGGAGGATCCAGGTAACTACCGACCCCGCAGCTTGACCTGGGAAAGTTTTAGAACAAGTAACCAAACAGACAGTCCTTGTGCATTTAGAAAGGATGGCTGGAATTACTAATAGCCAGCATGGGTTTCTCAATAAAAAGTCATGTCAGACTAACCTTACATCTTTTCTTTTTAGAAAGTTACTACCTTGCTGGATCAGGGGAATGCTGTAGACATAGTTTATCTTGATTTCAGTAAGGCTTTTGATAAGATTCCACATAATATTCTTGCTGACAAATTGGAAAGATGTGGTTTGGATCCTACGACTGTTAGATGGATCTGTAACTATTGTAAACTGTAAACTGTAACTGATTCCTCACGACAACCCTGTAAAGTCGGTTGGGCTGAGAAATAGCAACCAGTCCCAGGTCACCCGGTAAGCTTTTGCAGCTGAGGAAATACATGTTTCTCGGGTAGGGTTGCCACCCTCTAGGTGGGGCCTGGAGAACCCCTGGAATTCCAACTGACCTCCAGATGACAGAGATTAGTTCCTCCGGAGAAAATGGCTGCTTTGGAGGATGGACTGGTTGTCATTATACCTCCCCTGAGATCCCTCCCCTCCTCAAACCCACCCCTCCCCAGGCTCACCCGCCCCCCAAATCTCCAGGAATTTCCCAACACAGAGTTGGCAGCTGTTACGGATTCATACGGGCATGTCGGGACACGTGGCACTAAGGTAGCCATGCGGTCTAGCGCACCTTCAGGATCTCTAACAATAGCTGACATGGATCCTAGTGGGCACCAATAGGGTTGCCCGGATCCTAGGGTTAACCTATGATGGACTCTTACACTGTATATAGCCAATCACGGGAGTGGAGTGGGTGTTGGGTGCTGGGGGCTCTTTTTATAGCAGGAACTCCTTTGCATATTAGGTGACACACCCCTAATGTATCCAATCCTCCAAGAGTTTACAGTAGCCCTGGTAAGAAGAGCTCTGGAAGCTCTGGGAGGATTGGCTACATTAGGGGTGTGTCGCCTAAGATGCAAAGGAGTTCCTGCTACAAAAAGAGCCCTGCGTGACTGCACGGATAAAAGGAGGGTTCGAACCCAGCTAGTTTGTCTTGTAGTTGAGCTGAACTTCACTATTAAATATGAGCTGATCACTTGCTATGCATCTGAACTCAGTACTTTACAGCAACCCTATGGGTCTCTCTGTTCCCTACAGTACATTGGCTCTCAAAACATACAGAAGAGGGAGAGATTGGATTTATACCCCACCCTTGGGCTCTTTTTGTAGCAGGAACTCCTTTGCATATTAGGTGACACACCCCTAATGTAGCCAATCCTCCAAGAATTTACAGTAGCCCCTGTAATAAGAGCTCTGGAAGCTCTTGGAGGATTGGCTACATTAGGGGTGTGTCGCCTAATATGCAAAGGAGTTCCTGCTACAAAATCTCATTTCCCTTCCCCTCCCCACAACAGAAAACCTGTGAGGTAGGTGGGGCTGAGAGAGCTCTTTCGAGGACTGCTCGAGGACTGTTTTGAGGTCACACCCGCAGCTGTGTGTGGAGGAGTGGGGGAATCAAACCTGGTTCTCCCAGATTAGAGTCCTCACTTCTAATCACTGCACCAAACTGGCTCTCAGAAACTAGGTGGATGGATGAATGCCTATTAAGATGAAGAGGTGGACCAAAATGGAAGTGGAGGAAGAGAGAAATCTCTTGTCCTTTGTTGACTCTCATATGTATATGGTTCCTGCTGCCACCTTGAAGTGTAGTGGGTTAGACACATGTAAAAACCAGTGAGAGTGAGACGGACGTAGTGATCAGCATGGTTTACTAGTACACAACAAAGACAACAACTACTGGCCGGCTGGCTAACTATATACACACCTGGGGACACACCCCTAGGTCCCGTTGGTGGGTTCGTATCTCCCGCCACCGTCCTATTGGTTCCCCAGTGGAGAGACTAGGAGCCTAGTACCCATTGTTCCTCCAGATTCAAGCTCGGGAGTATTCCCTGGCCCCTGGTGGTGGTCAGCGGACATAACACACCTACACACCTGTACTCTCTCTCTCACACACACACACACTTACTGCTACAGGAAATTCGGCAGGCGTTCTTGGTACCGGGTGTCTTGCCATCATCACACCAATACAGGCTATTGATCTGGAAAATTCCGTAGTCGCGGCTGCTGCCATTGTCGTGCACGGCATCGGTTCTGTATCCGCTCTCATGGTACGCCAGGCAGACCCCTGCAGAAAGAGATTACAGGCAGGTTATCGAGGGCAACGTGAGAAAACCCCAAAGCCCACAGTAGCAAGAACATGTAAATACATGAAGCGGTCCTATACTTTTTCAGACCCTTGGTCCATTGAGTCAGTCTTGTCTACTCAGACCGGTAGCGGCTCTCCAGGGTCTTAGGCAGAGGTCTTTTCACATCATCTCCTGCCTGGACCTTTTAGCTGGAGATGCTGGGGATTGAATCTGGGACCTTCTGCATGCAAAGCAGAGGCTCTTCCACTGAGCTACATTCACTCCCCAGCCCCAAGGGATGGCCAGGCGAGGGATACAGAGTTGATCGTGGAGTGGACAAAGCTGGGGGGGGGGTCTACTTACAATCAGCCACTTTGCGGCCTACAAACCCGCTGAAGCCACGTTGCCGAAGGAGTCTCGCCAGCTCGCACCTCTCAAACACTTTGCCCTCAGCGCCGGGCAGCGCCAGTGCTGCGAAGAGGACGAGCCCCAGGAACAGAACGGTCTTCATCTCAGCAGAGCTCAGCAGATGTGTGTGGCTCTCGCTCACCTTCTGCTTTTATGTCGGCTCTTGAGGAGTTACCTCAAGAGGATGACAACCGCTCATGACACCCCATGTGGCGTTCTTACGCAATTTCTCACTTCTGCCTGGGCCCAAGCCTGTGGTTTTTTGACTTGGCTGCCCTTGTGAAAATCCCCCCTGGGCCTTCCAAACACAGCTCATGAGACGAACATTTCCCAAAATAGAACCAAACGGACTGTGACTGAGGAATTCTCTTCTTGCACAAGTCTGGTTTCCGTTCCATATTGATTCGTGTCCTTTTAGACCAAAATTGGGTTCTAGCTACTCAGAAAGGCTCAATACATTGTACATTTGAGCACTGTGGAATACTGGAAAGCCTCCAGGTGGTACCTGGAGATTTCCCACTCTTGATCTCCAGATGACAAAGATCCGTTCCTCTTGAGACAAGGGCTGCTTTGGAGGCTTTAGGAGGGAGATCGACGTTTACCTGCAAGCTTTCCTCAGGGCTAGTGTGTATCTTCACTGCCATGGCAAGCCTTGCTGGGCAGGGGAGGAGGAGGGTTGCTTTGCCCAGCTGGTTGGAGATGCAACAAAATAGTCCCCCTTGGGGGCACCCTTTGAGCTTCTCAGCTGGTAAACAGAAAGAGCTATATCCAGGGCTTTTTTTGTAGAAGAAGCCCAGCAGGAACCCATTAGCATAATAGGCCACACCCAACAGCAGAAACTCATCAGCATATTAAGTCACACCCCTGACAGCGCAGCTCATTAGCCTATTAGGCCACACCCTCCATGCCTTCCCTTGGCTTGCCTGGGCGTCCTGCAGGCAAGCCGGCCCTTGGACAGGCTGGGGAAGGCACGGGAGGCATTTTAATGCCTCCCTGATCCTTCCAGGGCCCCCCCTGGCACACCCACCTCGGAGTTGCTGGGGGGCGCTTTCCAGGCCTTCCCCTGTAGCCAGGCACGCAGAGGTTTTGGCTGTAGTGGGCGTGGCCAACTCGGAAGCCAGCCGGAACTCCGTTCCTGTGCGTTCTTGCCCAAAAATAGCCCTGGCTATATCTATCCAGGTCATAAGGATCACAGAGCCAGGATTCTTGAATCATAATACAATCAACGTTGGCCAACGTAGTGGAGACTGTAGGATCAATTATAGCTGTCCTCCATCCAGCTGCATTCCAACTATTTTAATTTCTTAGGCAAGGGATTGTTTTATTTAAGTGTCCCTTTACTCAAAAAAAATCAATTTGGTTTGCTGTTTGGCCAGGAATTGAGACGTTAGATATAACTACTTTAGGTGTCAGTGGAATAAGGTTTGGTTCTTGAGAAGGTGCTGTGATTTCCATTTCACTTGGGAGAGATTAGTTGTATGTTACAGTCTGTGTTTTGGGTGGGATCCAGCAGTGGCTCTTGTCCAGCAGGTAACCAGCTCAGCAGTTTGTAGTTGCTTATAGAACCCTGCTTGGCATATAGGGGACTTTGCTCTTGGTTATTTTGAGGAGTTTCTTGTTTAGACTTTTTTCCCTTTCTTCCTTCTGTTGGGTATTTTCTAAAAATGTTTCCCCAGATTTCATGTTAGCTAGAGATTTATTTAGTTTTAATATATTGTCTTCTAATTTATCTAGCTGCTCTAGTGATGATTTCTCTTGGTTATACACAGCAAGCAGCTCAATGACTCATTAATTCCCTTTTTATTTATCCAGTGTCCTCTATTCCAATGATTGTCGGCTATTATCAAGGCTATTTGGTGTTGGGTTTTTTTGAGGCAACGGACAATGCCAGGGATATTTTGCTCTTCCCTTTCTTCCTACCCTTCTTTTGAAATTTGATTTAATTTTTGATTTATAGTAAGTGCTCTCCTTGGTGACATTGATGCCCCAGCTTTATTCTGCAGTAAATTTAGATTATGGAGTATAAGGTTCAATTGCTTAAAAATAACCTTGACTGTTTCACCGACATTAATGCAATGTTCTCCTATTAAGTTAAACAGATAACTTTCTGTAGAACTCACACCGCTTTTTTTGTTGTTGATCTGTGTTATTAAGAGGAGTTTGGTTTACTTCAGGGTTATCTATTGTTGATGTTTGCATAAATTGGACAGGAATAGCTGTCTGGGTGATGGACTCAGATTCCAATAATGCATATTTATTTGTCGTAGCAAAGTTAGAGAAATCATTTACCTCACTTGTCTCTGCCCATGAAATAAGATCAAAACCAAAAAAGAAAGGGAACCAGCGTACAAGAACAGGAACAAAGCCAGGGAGGGGTTATTGAAATATAAAAATAGAAAATCCACAGGAAGAATTGCATATGGTTTTCAATAGTCTAGCATTTCTAATCAAATTAGAAGATCAATCTTTAGACATTGGCATATAGGTTCTCATATTCCAGGCTGTCAGTTGCCACCATATATAGGTTTACGCAGAGGGGAAAACCTGAGAAATGCTTTAATTAGATCCAGGGCTCCCAAGTACTTACCTTGATTCGGCGGGGGATATGCAGTTCTTCGCAGGACCATTCCCACGGGGAAAACACAGGCGCTGCACTATTCCGTCGCCCAGACGTGATGTAGGCACGTAGCCGGGCGACGCTCTAGCAATGGGGCTGGAAACTCAATGGTACCATCGAGTTTCCAGCTCCATTACCAGAGCATCGCCCAGCTATGTGCCTACGTCACATCTGGGCGATGGAATAGTGCAGCGCCTATGTTACAAGCAAGAATCTTCTGGCGGGGAAGCATGTGTCCCCTGCTGGTTCGTAGGTAGGTACTTGGCAACCCTGGTTAGATCTGATTTCTTTAAGGGCAGCATAGCTGCAACTAATCCAAAAGGGTTTCTAAGGTGTAGACATTGCAAGGCTTGTCAGCATATGATAGAAGGTAGTAGTTATACTGATAAAGACACAGGGATTATGTATACTTTTAATAATTTTATTGCAACCTGTTCTACAAATAGGGTTGCCCAGTCCTCACCTGTTGAAGATCGGGGGAGTCCAGTCTTGCTCTGAGAGTCCACGCGTGCACGCAAAGCGTGCGTGTGACACAATTACGTCACCCGGAAGTGACGCAATCACGTCGTGCACGTTGGGGGCGGGGCCACAATCATCCGAAGAAAACCAAAGAAATTCCTCTGCCGCTCGAAGAACTGGTTTGATAGGGACTGTAGGAAGATCAAAAATCAACTCAAACAACAATATAACCAATTCAGGAACAATAATACAAATGAAAACCGTAAACTGCTGCTGCAAATTAGAAGAAAGTATAAAGCATTGTTGAAAGGAAAAAAAGTCAATCCATCAAGATTGTCTGGAGTAAGGTGATTGCAGCTGCAAAGGAGAAATTATATCTATCCCTTTGGCATATAATTATGCCAGTTCTAAAGCCAGAACCCAGCAGTACAATTCCTATATCCACGGCGGCGTGGGAAAAAGATTTTGGAAATATCTATTGCAAGTGCAATTTATAACAGGAGCTGAATTTTGAAATAAATCTTGAACAGTACCTGCCATGGCAACCTATTACTTGTGCTGAAGTAATCAAACTAATTAAAAGTCTAAAAATGAAAAAGTCTCCAGGAATAGATGTATTCCCGGTGGAGCTGCTGAAGATCACCCCTAGATGGTGGGCTCAAATACTTGCACCCGTATTTACTCTAATAAACAAAATGGGAACTATCCCTGCAATATGGAAAACGTTGTTGATAGTCCCTATATATAAAAGAGGCGATAAAACCAATCCAAATAACTATAGGCCCATCAGTCTGTTGGCTGTGATCAGTAAGCTTTACGCATCCGATCTCAAGGGAAAACTGCAATGCTGGATGGAAGAAGAAGGAATGCTTCTACCTCTCCTCCTCCTCCTGATCACTGTATATAAGTGATTGTAGACTGTATGTATTTTTCCTTCTATTTGAATGCGTGTATTGCGAAGCACTTTGACGGTGAGCTGTATATATTGGATAATAAAAACTGTACATAGTTAACCACAGGACTGTGTAAGTGTGGTTTGCTACAGTTAAATCTTAGCAGGGCATAACTGGGTTTAGGCTGGTGAAGACTGACTCAACCACACGCACTGCGCGACAGTTCCTGGGGAAGGTGGGGTGAGGGGAGGGGAGAGACCTCAGCACGATAAAATGCCACAGAGTCCACCCTCCCTAGGAGCCATTTTCTCCAGGGGAACTGATCTTGGTCATTGGGAAATCAAGCGTAAAAGCAGGAGATCTCCAGGCACCACCTGAAGGTTGGCAACCCTAGTTCGCAGCAAAGCCCAGGCCCTGTTCCTATGACCGTTTTAGCTACTACTGTCTGAAAGTGGGACAGTCTTAAGTCAAACTCGTCACCCGCCACTGTCCGATAGCCGCGTCGCGAGTACATGTTGCGGGGCCATGTGGAGAATTTGACTGTAACCTTCTCTATTTCAGTCTGAGGCCCAAAGAACCTGATGTTCTCAGAGCCTGTGGCCAACCAAGCCCTTCCCTTCCCCAACTGGACAACCAACTTTGGCAACAAGGATTCTTCTGTTCTGTCCCCCTTTTTTTTTTTTTGACTTGCCCAAATTGTGCAAAGTTTATTATTATTTTTTAACAGTTTACATAGAAAAGAGCCATACAATTTAAAACAGCAAGTTCTATCCCTGATGAAGGGAGCTTTGATTCTTAAAAGCTTACAGCCTGGGAACCCTGTTGACCTTTATGGTGCTACTGGACTTGAATCTTGCTGTGCAGCTGCTGGCCATCATGGCTGCCTGCCTGAAACTTGACAATCGGGCTCTTTTTGTAGAAAAAGCCCAGCAGGAACTCATTAGCATAATAGGCCACACCCCTGACAGCACAGCTCATTAGCATATTAGGCCACACCCCAATGCTACCAGAAGTGTGGTCATCCAGCCACACCCACCTTTTGCTTCTTATTCTGTTTACCTTGTTTGTTGTCAAAACCCAGGGCCTTTTTTTGTAGCAGGAACTCCTTTGCATGTTAGGCCACACACCCCTAATGTAGCCAATCCTAATGAGTTTCTGCGGTTGGGT